AATCCTCCTCAAAAAATCATTTACAATGCGATTATAATCAGAATTCTATGTATTACATAATCACCTAATTCTAATAGAGTAGTATCTATTATTTCAAATAAATAAAACTTTATTACATTATCTTTCATTAACAATTCAATTTTCAATATATCTACTGCCTCACGCGTTTCCTCTTATATTCTCTTTTATACTTTCTTTTACACTTTCTTTCATGTTCCCTTTTATACTTTCTTTCACACTCCCTCTCACACTACCTTCCGCACTATCACTTTAGTTTTCTTGAATAAATCCTTTAATGATTTTAATAATGGGTTTGGATATAAAAATGGAAATAATAAAGAATTCGAAATTGGAGATAAAGGAAATGATAACTCGGAAATTAATAATATTAATAATACTACTAGTAGTATTATTAATCAAGATATATTAGACGTTATTAATATTAATAATAATACTGCTATTGCCTATATATTAGAAGAAATAGGAGTAGAGTTGATATCTAAAGAGGCTTTTAAAAAGATATAGAAAGGGTATGTAGTATGCTGCTTATGGCCTTAGAGTAATGTTAAATCCAAAGGACTATATCTATTAATATAGTAATATAAATGGTGGTATATGAATAAGAATGATTGGGATAAAGTAATTCCGGATAAACAAAAAGATTTTAGTTATATTACTCAAATTATAAAATCAGAAATTAAAGAACGATTATTAGAAGAGAGTAAATACGTTTTCTGTTGTAATCATAGATTTGAATACTGGGTTTACTTTAATCAAAATTTGTAATAAATAATTCGATCTGATTTGATATATGCTCATTATTATTAGATTACCCATAAAAGGAAATATAATCTATTTATTTGTATACAATATAAAAAGAAAGTGGTTGTTTTTCCTGTGTATTTATAATCAAATGCTCCGGATAGAATAATCTTATAAATCTGATTAGTTGTATAAGAAATTTTTAATAATTATATTCCCTTTCTTAAATATTAATATAAAAATGTTAATACTTATTAATTACAGATATTTTTTTTCATATATTATTATAATTATATAAGGTATTGTAAAAGGTTTTATTAATCAATCAATATAAAAAAATATTTCAATGAAAATATGGCTATTGGATATTTATTTAAATATAGTTATTTAAATAATATATTTTTATAATTTAATATATAATATTTTAAATTTATATATTAAGAATTAATAATATTTGACAAGAATTAATTAATAGGAATTGATAGAAATTGATAGGAGTTGATAGGAGTTGATAGGTATTAATAAGAATTAATAGAAATTGATAAGAGTTAATAGGAGTTAATAAAAAATTAAAAATCTAATTGATTAAGGATTAATTTAATATATATTAATAATAATAAGTTTATATTAAATTATTCTAAAGCTCTATATATATCATTATTAACTATATGTTCAAGTATTTGAATAGGGTCTACTACAATATCTAAAAGTTCTAATGGTGTATATAAAGTTTGAACTATCTCTTCTACATCCTCAATAACAATATTCTGAAGTCTTTCTTTCTTGATTATATATTATTTATTAAATAATTTAACCTTTATCTCCAATATAATTTCTCTATTTTCTTAAATATCTTCAAATAAATAAATCCCTTTTTTGAAATCTATTAGCTTAAAATTAACTTTATTATCTTAAACTAATTTTGTAGTCAAAGAAAGTATATCCTTTTTAATACTACAGATTATATACACTCCAGATATAATTTCTTCAAATATATTTTCAACCTTTTTTCGGAAAATATATTAAAAAGTATTTGTTAAACAAATACAATCAAATATCTTATTTATATTATAAATTGAGTTTTTATAATATTATATATCAATTTGATAATTAAGATTTATATACTTTTATATCAAATCAATAGCTTTATATATCCATATCTCTTTTAGCTAATTAACAAAAACTGAAGTAAGTATTCCATACTGTAATTCGGGAGTGCATACCCCTGATATAAATAATTATTTATAATAAAGCATTTTCCTTTTATATTTAACTTAACTAGCTTCCTAGAATAGAAATATAAGCAAATCTATTATCTGATGTATGATATTAATATTATTATATTTAATAGTTTTGTTTATTGTTATATATATCTCTATTTCCTAAAGTAAACAACATATAATAATATAATTTAAATCAACTCCCTTATTTCTATTCTATCCTTCTTACGTAAAAGCCTTTTATTAAACCATTTCCATTACTTTGAGAAACTCAACTAACATCATATCTCGTATAACTTCTTTGATAAAGTCAACCATCTTTTTTGTTTAATGAATATTATTAGTTATTCCAAAATATTCCTATAATACATAATAAAATAATAATACAACTCTTATACCAAATATTTGAGACAATAAAGAATATATTTGATAATATTTCAATAAATCTCTTTTTTATTCCTTTCACCCTAAATCTAAAAGATTGATTTGAATACAATAGAAACTAGTCTCGCTAAACGAAAGTTTGAAATAGATATGAATTATAATATCCTGAACCGTCATAAATATATAAAACCATAAAGTTAACCTAAGCATCCATTCTCTACATTCGTAAGGGTTAATAAACTTAGATTACTAGACTTTAAGAGATTGTATATAAACTGCTATAAGTTGGTTACTATGTACTAACTTGAGATTAATAGTATAATCAAATAATATAGATTTGCTAAATGTTGAAAAGATTAATTGTGTTTTGAAGATATTATTATAAACCTTATATATTCTATTTATAATTCCCTTATTTATATAGATATTACCGAACTGCTAATACTTTGTTTTATTGATAGGAATATACTTTATTTGAAGTATTTTGGGGTATAATTTAGTTTTCCGAAATATTGAACTAATAATATCTCCTAATATATTTTTAAATGTATTATATATAAAATAAGTATTCAATTAATAAAAAAATATATTTACTACAAAACTAGAAAAATCAAGAATATTTTGAAAGTCTAAAAAAATAATAGGATTATATATAATTTGTTTAAATTTTAAAAATAAAAGTTTTAGATAGAGAATAATTATAGCTATAATCAAATTCTTTATATTTTTGATATAGCTAAGACTTTTATTTCTTTTAATCTTTTTGAAGTTAAAATTATTATAAACAATTATTATTTGTAAATAATTTCCTTATATTTTGATTTCCTTTTTAACTCCAAAAACCATATATTTCATTTGCTCATTACAATAACTATAATTATTGTAAACTCCAAACTCAAAAAGCATTTAAATACAATGATGCTTTATTCCATAATCTATCAAATAATAATTAATAATACTATAGAAATAGTTTAATCAATATTTAAATTGAGTATATACTACTATACTAGTAATTATATAAATTTGTTGATCTTGAATATCTATATTTGATTCATTTAAATAACTAGAATAATAAGAGCATTCGTTAACAATAAGAATTGTAAGAATAAAATACCAAATTGAAGTTTTATTCTCTATTGACTAATCAATATCAAAGAAATCGATATCGTTAAGCTCGCTCGAAAAAATACTTATATTGAAAGTTTGAAGCTTTGATTTGATAAAAAGAGTAACGAATTCTTGTTTTAATATATTTAAAAGATAATCCAAGAAGACACTTTTATATATTATATTTTCAATAAATATATAGGTTAAAGTTTTTTTGAGCTTTAATCGTTGTACTTCAGGAATACCATTAATTCCAGTATATATATCATTAAAAGCCTAACTTATTATAAACTTATTGAATAATATTCCCTTCTAATCCATTACATTTAAAATATATTGGAATTTGGATTGAAATACTCTATCAATAGAAATATTAGAAGTTTTGGATTCAGAAACAACAATTGAAAACCAAGGTAGTAAATTAGATAATTATAATAATAATAGGCTAAATAATAGTAATACACTTAATAGACTTATTGGAGTATCAATTATCAGAATATCAACTATCTTGATTATTATAATAAAAAATAAAGACATACAGAAATTGATAAAAGTTGATAGAAGGTATTAGGAGATAATAGGAGGTAATAAGAAATAGTAGGAAATAGCAAGAGTTGATAAGAATTAACAAAAGATAATAGAAGTTGATAGGAAATACCGATTTCAATATTTACCATAGCTTTTTCTATTACATTTTAGTAATAAAAATACAAATATTATCAATAATTTCTAAATTCAATTAATCAATATATTATTACTATACAGACTTAAAAAATACTATAAAATTAAGGCTTTCAAATCATATATTTACTTTTTAAATATATTAAAATTGAAGAATACAAATACACCTTCGAAAATCTCTCATCAAAAGATTTCAGATCCTCACCAAAAACACAACCAAATACTCTCAAACTCTCGAGAAAATAAACATTCCCCCCAATCCCTAATTAGCCAAAAAAAATTCAATTATTAATAAACCATAATATCACCATAAAAAAGATCAAGATATTATTCAGAATTCAATAAAATATATTCTATCAATAAAGAGGGTCTGAATATTGAGATAATGGATAATTAATATTACGATGTTCAGTTTCAAGCGTGATCATGAGCTCACATGATATGAATCTCTTACCTTACATCCATTGCAGGCCAAAACTTCCATCAGACTAAAATCTTCATGCCAAGACCACACGATTCCATTCAAATACCTCCAACAAACAAACCTTCTTGCGTTGAAAGCAGAACATCCATTGTTCATACCATCAAAGAAATGCTTCGATGGACTTGACATTCAATGAACTACATTCCTTCTATTTCATTATCTCTATTCAAGCTTCACAACATGCGGTATACATATTTCCTAAAGCGTCATTGCTGTTACTTGATCTTTTCTTTCATCATGTTATTCCCATTATGCGATTTGTTTATCTGCTACGATAAACTTCAAGCTACATATAGAGACAGCCAAGTCAACGATTAAACCTTCCCAGGCCAATTATCACAAAAAAAAACATTACAAAAATCATGGCCGATGTAGTAATGCGGGATGCACCAGCTGCGGCTGCAGGCGCTGCCGCTTTGCAACGAAGAGCTGGAGGAGGGTCTGCCGAAAGTAAAGCTCCTGACACGATAGGTCCTGCGCCTAGGGGATCAAGTGGTCTAGCTCGAGGAGCAGTACAACGAACAAAATTCTCAGAAGCATATCGTTCCATCTTTACACTCAATCAACCAGACCTAATTCCACTGTTTAAACATGTCAACTGCAATTATCTGTCCACGAAAGGCCACTCACCTACAATTCTGGAATTGAAACAACACGCTCAAGCATTGGTTATTCTCCTCAAGCAAATTACTCTTTCCACCCACGCAGGAACCATCGATAGTAAGAATCAAAAAGCGGTTACCAAGTTTGATGGAGCCCCGAGTTTCAATGAACATGAAACCTTCGATTTCCTCAATGATTTGAATAATGTCTACGAGAATAATACAGTCCATCACAATCTTCCACTTCCCACTTTACTTAATACATTGGAACCTCAGTATGTCGAACCGGGAACCATGGTAAATCCAGGACAACTAGATCATTTTGTCGAGATTGACGTCTGTCCATTGCATGAAGTGGATCCAGCTCCTGTTGACGGTCCATCGCTTCCATATGCTACCCATGAAGCACTTCTCAAACACGCAAACGAAGTACTCGAACTAATCGATCATGAATATAGCGCCAAGGGAGGTCTACTCGGTGTTCTTCCCCATGAAGATGACGATAACAATCGACCCCTAGCAGAAACAACTCTCCTTGGTCAAATGATACTTTACATCCAACGACTCGTCGCTCGTCTTCATAACCTCGAACGTCTTCATGCAAATGCCATGGACGTAATGAAAGGTGAAGCTGTCGTTCCTCATCAAGCACTTTCCCGCGTAGGACCCGATGGACGTAGTGGCCGCGAGCTCGTCTACCCACAAGATCGCTTCGTCCTCGTCAATTCTGGCGACGATGTCTGGCAATTTCTCAATGATGAATTTGAAAAGAAAGAACGAGTCGACGAACAAGTCCGTGCAAATCATCTCCGTCTCGGTGTCGAAGGTGAGCGTCTCTGGGAAACCAAAGGTGGAAAAGAATATTCCCGTGGTATCACCGCCATCGATGTCATAACTCGCTACTATCGACTCCGCAACGATTCCCTCAAAACCATCTTCGTCATCCCTGCCCACGCCGAACATCCCGGTGTCAAAGTTACCCGCGAAATGGAACGCAACCCCACCGTCGTCAGCGTGGTCAAACCCGTCTGGCCCGAGCGCGTCTCCGTCTGGGAAAAGAAAACCCGCGACGATCTCGAGGAACTCCGACAACTCCGCCGGGACAACGCATCTCTCCGCGAAGCCGCCGAGGTCGCAGACACAGAACGCACGTATCTCCTCAACGAAGTCAAGCTCCAACGCTCCCACGTCTACAACGCGAAGGAAAAATGGAAACGCTTCACCGAAGGCCCCGACTTCAACGAAGTCGCCATCCAGCTAGAAACCGAACGTGAAAGTCTCGCCAAGGAACGCAAAGATTTCGAAGCCCAGCGCAGACAACTCGATACCCGCGCTACCGATCTGGAAACCCGATCCCAAGAACTCACATCGCGCGAACAAACGCTTGCGAATACTCGGGCAGCAGACGCGCGACAATTTGAAGCTCGTCGCGCCACGCTCGAAAATCTGTATAAACAGCGCTTGATTGATCTCGAGAATGATCGCTTGGCGGCGGTGGAGAATGGCACGCGACTCGCGGATGAGTTTCAGAGGGCCTGGACGGAACAATTGGAGAATACGCAGACGCTGGTGGATTTCTTGAATAGTGATCGTGCGAAGAGTTTGTTGGCGGAGAATCTCATTCCTGATGATATTGGGAAGAGGGGGGTTAGGGGCGCGCAGGAGGTGGTGCAGAGGGTTTTGGAGAAATTGGCGAATCCGCAGGGGGGTGGTGGTGGGCATTAGTTTAGTCTTTTGGGGGTGGGCAGTTGTAGGAGGATGGAGGGAGGGAGGGAGGGATGCATGGATGGGAATTCTATTTGGCTTGTTTGGTTAAAAGGGAGTGGATTTGTAACTTTATCTAGGTATTCCATATTTCGCGTCTTTTAATTTTCTCGAGAGAGAAAGTAGGTAGCTAGGTAGCTAGGTAATTGAGTTGTTTGTAATATTACGTATGTATGTATTTATTATCTATATATCTACGCATGTATTATCTATACATAATATCTTATATTAATCTTTCCACCCGGACTTTTCCACTCATCTAATGATTCCCTTTCCTTCTTCTTTTTCCTTTTTCCTTTTTCCTTCTTCTTCTCCTTTCTTCTTTTTTCTTTGGTTGGGTTATTTTTTAGATTAGATAAATTTATTTATATAGTTTTGAGAAAGTGAAGGGAGTATGGATATCTAATAGCTGTAATTATAATTGTAATTGTAACTCCTGTTGAGGAAATAAGAAATTAGAGATTAGGGATTGTTGAATTTATTTAATAGTTTAGAGATTGATTTGATTTCCTGGCTATGGGGGAGATTCTGGAGGTGGATTTGGAGGCTTAGGGTTAGGTTGTGTGGCTTTTGGTGGTTTGGGGATAGGAATGGGGATGGTTTTGTGAGTTTGGGATTTTGGGATTTTGTGGTGGATGGGATGGGATGGCATGGCATGGCATGGGATTTTAGGTGGGTGAGATGCTTAGTTTGGTATTTTGATTGTTTTATTTTCTGAGATTTGGTTCCAATTTTGGGGGAGTGGAATGAATGAAGATTAATGATTCTTTTTTTCTTTTTTTTTTCTTAGGTGTAGGTTTGGATTTGGGATAGATGGTCGGTAGATGAATAGGTAGATAGATAGATAGTTTCCTAACAATCTCGCTCTCAGTTTAGGAGTGAAAAGAAATACTAAATGGAGGATTTGGCTATTTTTAATCTAAACTCATTTAATCGAAGAAGAAGAAAAGGAAGTGGAAGAGTAACACTAAGCGAAGTATAAATGAGTGAAAGATTGAGAGGGATATCGATGAAAGAAAGGGGTATAGTGCTATTCAAAGAATTTCTCGCTTCGCTCTGGAGAAATTTGTAACGATTAGACGAAGAGTGATATAGAGTTGGGAGTCTAGATATCAGGTATTATGGATCGATGGACTGTTTTTTGATGGGGTTTGTATTGGAAGATTTTTATATGTTGGAAGGGATTTATGTTTTTGGAAGATTGATGGTTGGGGAGTTTAATTGTTCCTTTCTTATTTGGTTACAAGGGGATTTGAAACTAGGAGAGGGTTTTGATCATGGCAATTGAAGAAACATGATAGATTCCTGATTCATAACGTAGCTAGATGTATCAACCGTAGTGTCTTTACAATCCGTATATCCTTTTATTTATCCAAAGTGTAGATTATGAACAGTCTATGGTTCGATTCCGATGGCCTACTTGTTACTGTACGGCCCGACGTATCAACCGGATAATCTATCGATACTTGTATGCTCTTGAAGCAATGAATGAGTTACGGCTCGCATTTGGCAATGTCTCGCAAGTACAGCATCATATTGTATTTCTGTGCCGTATTGCAGCACTTGCCCTCAGGATTTTCTTTGAAAAGGTGTGCTTTGGGTTTTTGTTCTGCCGGAGAACAACTTTAGTCACCTATACTTCCCATACCTCCTGATCAAGTTTTGGGCACATCTCAAATCTCAATAATCTAGGTTATGCCTAAGTCTGTGCGCAAGATGGAAGCTAAATTCACTTCATTCATGTCTATGACAATGCATCGACATGGCAAAGACATAAAGTCTCTGCTTGTTCCTTCCCATTACAGAAACATCAACAATACTTTCAGAAAGACATTCCCTAGTATTCCACACAGAATCATTTCAGAAAATTCAACTCATATTCAACAGAAAAATATTCGACATTACAACATGTCTCATCCTTGGCTTGTTAAAGAACAAGACCGGTGCAACTATGGTCTTCAATGGCAGCAAGTAATTGCTACCAATCAAGCAGCAAATGTCGTCCTCGGTCCACACAACTTTCATTATCCTCCAGAGAAAAATGTGTTCGCTGTTCACGGTCAACAAGATCAGCAATACATTCAAGATTTCGAAACCAACATTCGCTCCTCGCTCAAAGATTTTCTGGTCTCGGAGCTATCTGACTGTACGTGGACCTTGAATATTCTTCGACTTGGCTTCGAAAGTAATAGAAGCGATAATCCGATTGTTATTCATCTATTCATTCAAACCCCAGATTACTTCCTGGATGCTGAAAACAACAGAGACATTGAAAACATTAAAAGCAATGCGATTAAGGTCCTGGAAGGAATGAATAAGATTATCTCCCAAAAGAAGAAGACTTCTGAGAAGTACGTATTTCTTCATAGTAACTCCAACTTGTTCATGGGGATATTCAACTGACTTGGCATGTCTAGGTGCTTCATCGACATTTGTCAAATTAAAAACTCGACACTTAGATGCTCCAAGATTAACCAAGAGAATGGTGTCGATTTGAAGAACAACTTTGAAAGCTTGTATACCAGTTACACACCACGTCCTGGCATCTCAATTGGACGCACAGAACTTGACACTGCAGGTTCCCTCACAGGGTTTTTATGCCACAATAATGACACATACGCTCTCACGTGCAGACATGTTGCTTTGCCAGGCAAAGATTTCCGATCAGGATACAAGTTTCGAGATGAAGGACAAGAATTTCAGATATCTATACCCGCTATCAAAGATCACGAAGCCACCAAGATAAAAATGAAAATTGATCTTGATAACATCACTACAGAAATCGCAAACGATCTGTTGGAACAAGTAAAACATCCCTATGGAGACTATGGATTGCAGAATCAAATCAAAAAACAGGAACAAAATGTCTATGCCTTTAACTATGACAAAGCCTTACATCACCGCACTGATGCTGGTCATGCTTATGTGGCCCCGGAAGAATGGCGCAAAGTTCCATACTACAATGGAGTTCTCGATTGGGCCATTATAGATAATATCTGTACTGATCACAATAACACAGTAAGTTCTTCATTGCTTGATACTCTTTTCGAGTGATAATACTGATTTTCATGATAGTTGCCTCGAACCTATTTTCTCAGAAAAGCCGAGATCTCCAGATTGATCAAGCGCAAACAAGCGGACGATTGGTCTTCCAGCCAGTACGAAGCTTTTATTGCAAAGTGTCAGACGTTAGAAAAATCAACTAGATTTGATATCAAGAATCCAAGCTCATCCTCGGCGCTATTCACAAATAGAATTTACTTCAAAGCACCAAGTCGAACATTGGGTTGGAAGGCGTGCGAAATGAATGGCATCAGAAACATAAATCACAGAAATGGCCATGGAGTGTCAGAGGAATGCGTATTTGTCGGCGAAGGCTACCAGGGGGCGATACCTGACGGAGGCGATTCGGGCGCTCTAATCTACGATATCGACGTTGACACTACGAATGTTGAGGAGCCCACTGCGGCTCTCATGCCAATGGCTATGATTTGGGCTGGTGATAATTATGGAACAATTGTTTCAGGTTTCCAGGATGTTACATATGCGACTCCCATCGGCGCAGTGTTGAAGGATATTGAGTGTGAAATGGGATGGGATGAGGGAAGTCTTAAATTTTGCTAAGCGAAAGGTGGCTTTAGTGATTAGACCTTACATTCCGATCTTTACTAGACACGGATGGAGGTTATAGGGTGGGGTTAGCCTGGACTCAGGATAGTATAGATTTGACTATAGGGGGAGAGGGCTTTACGGGCTAGCGGAGTGTCAGGCCCACGGAGCTTGTGTTTATATTGCTACTTTTTTCATGGTTTTATGACCTCATGAATTTATGACTTTAGAATCACACCAGTAACTACATGTACTTCAAACAAATCAACAGGAAATTCCTGTAATGATCCTCCAGCTATTTCAACATATTCGTCACATCTTTGATTATATCTCTTTCTCTTCGTGAATTTATTATCGACTCCAGTTGTCATGTCAACTCATGCCTCTCAATTCATATCAATCATCTCATTTTCCTGCAACTTAAAATATCAACTTTACATTCCAAGTAAGTATAATAAGCGGCTCTTTAAGTATAGTCGGGGGAAGTGAATTGTCCCCATGAGATTCTGAATGCTAATTATATTAATAGAATTAGATTAATATAAACAAGCATTATCAAGGTGAATAGTTATTGCGTTGATAAAGCTAGTGATATATTTGTAATTTTGATTGTTTCAAAAAGACCAAAGAAGATTTTTTTACTATAAATCACACATTCGATTTGATTTCATTGGTCTTGATCTTGATCTTGATCAGAAAAACTATCAAAATCTTAGAGGGAAAATTCACTTTCCCAGAATGGGAGCTAATCGGCTGTTTAAAGAGCTGGCAGATGGTGGGGGTCACGTCGAGGTACATTGGATGGGAGGAGATCGAAAATCGAAATGTGGTGGATGCTAATGATCATGGGGGGAACTGGATGATGGTATGCTGTGAGGACATAGGTAAAGATATTGATTATCTTTTGAATTTTAGGGTCTCAAGACTTGAAGATCGGTTGAAGATTGGATGTTCAGAGAGTGTTTTGTGAGACTTGGGTGAGTTTGTGGAAGAAATTTATGTGGAATGAGTTGATTTTATTGGAAGTGCATGCATAAACTCAAAACACAGAAAGAAACCATTTCAATAATCAAAGCAGAGATTAGATCAACCATGAGAATTGGCAGGAATCTTGAAGTGAAGTCATGAAAGAAAATATCTCACGCTGTGCATCGTACTCGGCGGGAGAAGTACATTTGGTGGGGTGGGTAAGCGGCGCATCCACGTTTAAATGATTGGCGAGTTCTTCTCATGTATGAGGAAGTATCGATGTGAACACTATGACTCTATGAGAATATGAGAATATGATGAATAAGGAAGATGAGGAGGAGGAAGTTGGTGCAAGGGATCAATTGATATGCTGAAAATATGGTTGTGAAACCAACTAGCTAATGTACCTATATAAAAGTATGACAAGAGAAATGAAGAGATCATGTTCATCGTTGGCTGTCAAGAAAATCCGGTTATTTCAGACGATAGAATCAAAAGAAAGAAAAACAGACAGAGACATGGTTGAATCGACAAGGCTCTGGTACTCGAATCTCCAAGAGGATGTGGAGCTGACGTGCGTGCTTGGCAAAAGCCTGGATTTGAAGGTAACCCCGATGAATGGCGCAAAGAACTCAACGTGCCTCGATATCAAGATCTTCATCGTAGTAAAATATATTTGAGGGAATTTCTTGGCCACCGGGTAAGCCGAGTCGTATTCTTTCATCTCGAGACTCGTGCAGAGTCCAAATTTCGGTAGTTGGCGAATAGGTTTGCATTTCTTCAAATTCATTGCTCGATACTTGTATGCCATTCTCTGTAGTCGGATTTGTCGTTACACGCTGAATTTCTGATTGGGGAGGGCTATTCTGTTCGTTCGGATCTTCCTCAATGGTAAGTTGATTGTCGTAGTGCGATGCCATTACGCAGTCGTGTGAGAAGTAACCCAAGTGACGACAAGTATATTGGGAACTAGGTTCATGGGTTTGAGCTTCCAATTCATGCAAGTCATTTTCTGACATATAGCCAGCATCATGGCTGGAGCCACCAAAACTAGCTGCATTGCTTGCGAAAAAATCTTCTTGTTGTGGTAGATGATCGAAGTGGGTGGATTGTGGATGAGGACCTGCGGGAGATTCTGTACAGGGATGGGGAGATCCTTCTTTTTTGGGGCCAACAGAATTGCAAAATCGACTGAGATCAGCGTTGTGATGGTAATGTTGATGATGAGATTTACTCTCAGTGCTTATGAAAGTCAGTAAGATAATCACAACAAATAAGTGATGTTATCTGTGGTACCACATACTTGGGTTCGGATTCCTCCCGAGCCTGCCTATGAGTTGACGCGGATTTTGATGACATGCTGTAAGAAGTAACATGAGAGATTTTATGCTTGATGATAAAGCTGATCACAAGAATGAAGGGGATGTGAGCTGGATAATCGGTAGTCTGAGTCAAAGACAGACAATAGTGACCTAAGTAACACTCTTCATAGATCTCAATTTCAATGATTGCGCGGGAAAAATAGAATGAAGAAAACTTAGGAACTTTATACACAAATTCTGATAAACATTTCTCCTGGAAATCTAAGAAAAGATTAACAAAGCATCGTTCCAAATGGCGAGTAGGATATCTACGATGCAAGACGCAGGGGAAACGGCCCGACGGTATGGGTATGTAAGATCGTTCTTCAATTGAGTGAAGGTATTCGAAAGCATGACCCCATTATAAGCTAGCTAATTCAAGTTCATGAACAAATATGAGGCTAGAAAGTAAGATAACCAGACATCACACGAACAAGGGCGTGTAATTGGATATAGGAAGAGCGCTCTTTTTACCATTTCCAGCAATGGCGGTAGGGATTTTTTTTATAGAAAGACATCCAATATGCAGATATATGGGTAATTACGCTAGGGGAATACTGAAATGGCAGATATAATTGCTGATTTCCCTGAAGACTTTCAAAGGGTATCGGCTATGCACCTCGACTAAGCAACTCAGGGAAGCAGTAGAAAGTGGCATCGTCATAGTTCGAGCTGTACGAGGCACAGTCTGCTCGATAGCTTTGAAATCAATCGTCCATATTTTAACCATGCAAACCAGACCAGATGTCGTGGAAGGCAGGTCATGAGCGGCCCGTTTCAGACCTGTTGTGCTCGCAGACAGCCATCATCGTAAATGTATCGAAGTGGCTCATATCATTAGCCCCTGCTTTCTTTAACCTTATTGGATGTTTGAAGAACATATCTTGGAGCTTAGAAAGATCTAGAGCGATGAAATGAAATGAAGCAGCAAGCAATTTGTACCTTGTGCAGTCGGAATTGGAAGGTGGTAGGAACCTGAAACGATGTGATTAATACAAAACATCGTGTAGAAAGCTTCACCCTTAGCATGGTATTCTGATTCAACGACCGATATAATTGATAAAAGTATGAATCAGTGCTGAAATTCTATTTTTTGACGTTTCAAATGTTTGGGGGACGTTGGGGGACAACGGGTGGGACACTAATAAGACGTTCATAGTCACACTGCTTACGTAATGCAAATTCCTATTCATGAACATCCAGGTTTAGAGTCAACTTGAATTTGTCTACACCACAATCAACTTTATCAGCTCATTACTTTGTGAGATGAGAGACTATGGACTGAGCCTTCCCACGAACACATTTTGCCATTCACAACAACTATTTTTTCCGGGGCGGATAGTCGCAGAAGAAACGAACAGTTTTCTGTTCACGACATGACCATCACTGCGCGTTTTCGAACACTCGCACCAACAGTTCATAAACTCTACAGATTAAATTGCACACTTTCGTCACTAGCCACCCAGTTATAGCCGTGCTGTAAAGTAAAGGCTCTCACTTAAATCAAGATCCATAATTGGATGCAATGAAGTCAAGAGCCCTTTTAATGCTCGTGGCTTGAGCATGGTTCACTTGAGCCTCGTGCAGGGCCTCTAGGTCTTACTGTACCGTTCGCCAATCCCGATTTCAAGCTATCTGATAAGTGACAGATATGCACCAAGAAGTCAGCTGAGCAAATAAAGATTAAAGATCTGAATTTCTAGACTCTGTTGTTTCAAGGATTTCGAGCTCACATTTGAGAAGCATTGATGAGGCTCAAGCTTTTCCCGTAGTTTGGGGTTTGATTCTTTTAAAACATTGCTCTTATATCACGACACGAGCCGACACTTTATTGATTCTATTGCATACCAGGGTATACAGCTGCGTCAGCACTGACACCACATACCTAGTATTATGGCTCTGCCTAGACTCGGCTCCAGATTCATGTTCAATATGTGCTACATCGGAGGAGAACGAGATATTAACTACATTCTTCTCTTTTCGCGTGCTGTCTCATGAAGGACTATGGAGCGGGTGATTACAATTGACAGATTTCTCAAACACAAAGCACCAGAGAATGCGGATACGTGCATTTTGGGGCGCACGCATCAAACGCGTTTCACATCTTTTCTGCGGTGCACATATAATCTCCAAAATTCGCATGAAAGTATGCTTTCGTCTGGCGTACGAGATGACGTTCAAGGGACCATATCGTTGTCATGTTTCCGCAGCATACGAGCCGGCACAGCTTCCGGATGAGTCTCCGCAAATAGGAATTCGAGCTCTCCCACCAAAATTTTAGTTTGCTTAGTTTTGAGTACAGAAATCTTTACCGTGGCAGCAACATGAACAGTGTTTCTTAGTCGCTAATTCTCTAAATCGCATCGTATCTGATGAGATTTCTATGGCCGACCTGCTCTCATGCGAGACGTGCCTTAAGCGACAGGCTCGAGTTAACAAGTCAAAAGCTTTTATCTCCTTTACCAAAACCTCTGCATTACGTTATTTATTTCTATCTTTCTTCTCTATTACTCAATTTCAAAGATAAGAAGAAACGGATCAGTCATTGTCAACTGCTATCAGCCACTTTACAAAATCACATCAAAAATCGTCATTTTGCTACATCTTTAGTTCCTCGAAAAATAAATTTTGTTTTTATCAGATTCTCATTAAAGTTACCTAGTTTCATCGAAAATTCTTCTACAATCCTGAGTATAAATAAGAAGTTTAAAAATAAACACATGTTTCGACTAACAGTAGTTGACTAGTATGATATCCTCTTTGAAAGTAATAAGAACAAAGAAAAGTCAGACTTAAAGCTCCACTAATCCCTTTCTTTGATTTTAGCGCTACTCAACCTGTCTATTAGATAGCTCTTCAATCATCTTAAATTCATCAATTACCCCAGCCCAGGTTGTATGTACTGGACCCGGTCACTCGCCATCTCAGAATCAGGAGGTGAGTTGTAATGGATTTGCTAAGTTATATTTTCTATGGTATCTGAATTGCCTCGAACATAATGTATCTAGATGGTTTGAAAGCATGTGTTAATCTTCAAGTGCGAACTAATATAATAGTAACACTATCATATATTTTATAATCTTATAACCTTCGAGAAGAGAAGCACTCGAACTCGAAAAACTCAACGCAAACTATTAAATTACTTGAAACAAGTATTGCGAATCTGGACTACTCATTTTCTCTACTTTCTCTGTATATACTATATAATTATTCACCACTCAATTTCTGCCATCTCACAGCTCTTACCCATCATTTTATCATCATCACATTTTTGATCAGGTTTGAAAAAACTCAAACATCATTTTATATTTTTGTACTGTATATTCTTATAAAGCTTTTATTTTTACACTGATGAGTCTCCGACCAGCAGATATCTTCTAAAGAAAATACAAAGAAATCATAACTCGTGAACAAATTGCAAAAGTCAAAAGGTGGGATAAATAATAGAACAAAAAGTCATAAAGCATAACTCGTTACCTTGTACCTGGTTTGTATGTTTTTCCTGCATTTTCCTTGTTTCCTATCCAAATAAAAATCCACTTACCTTTTCTCTCTCCACCCAAGACGTGTGTCAAAGGCCTCATATCCTTTCCTCAACTTCTCAAGCACTGCTACCAGAGCAATCACCCAATCTGAAACTCGCCAACTCCGTTCCTTCGAAAACTCTCCCCGAGCATCTTCTTCTCTTCTTGTCCTCCTTCACAAAGTCTGTCAACCTCAAATCCGGCACGCTGCACCATTCCCATGTAGACAAACTCGGACACCAATCTAGACTTGCGGACGCAGCTGAGCTAAGTGTAAAAGATGAAGGAATGGGGATGCGGCAAACGGTAGGAGACACGAGAATCTTCAGGGTGAATGTAGGGCTCGGTTGAATCGGGGATTCGGAGGAGACTGGGAGTTCGGTTGGAGATTCGGGAGTGATTGGGAGCTCAATCATAGTCGGAGAATTACGTTTTGAGGGAATGGCCTCGCAGACCTCGAGATCTGAATGATTCTCTGGTGCAGGGAGTTCCAAGATTTGCGCTGCTGTCATCCAGCCTGTACAATCATCAGAGGATAATGGCATCGGTGAGCTGTCGAGCGAAGGAATCGTTGACGATGGGGATGAAGCGAGAAGTTTGACTACATGGAACTTTGCTTCATCCGAATCGCTCCAGCTTTTAGTCGATTTCGATGATCGTTGTGATGATGTTCGCTTTGGAACATTAGCCTGGAGGGTTTCGGCTAATGCTGTAGATGCATCTGCTAGGTTGATTGCGAGCTCAACATTTTTTTCAAGCATGACGACCTTCTTGGATTCTTCAGCTGAGTGTTTGAGTGCAATCTGGAGTTCATTTTCAAGAAACTCAACCTTTTTCGATTCTCTCTCGAACAACATCTTGAAGTGGTCTGCAAAGGCTTTTTGTTGGCTTGGAGCAGCACGGGCCGCGCGGAACTTTCGCACCTCTTCTTCAAGTTGTTCGTTCTTGTATTTGAGTTGATGAATCTCTTCCTCAAGTTGTCGGTCCATTTTTTCGACTTCTCGGACTGCGTTACTGAGCTTGACATATGCCTTGTGTGTTTTTTCCGCGTAGATTTTCCAAGCCCGCGTTTCGTTCAAGGTTGCTTGTGCTTCTCTGGTAAATATAGGGGGTGTTCTGACTGAACGGTGTGGTTGTATTGTAGGATCGACTTTCCTACCTTCTACAGTAGTTGCTGTCAATTTAGGAAGCTTGATAGTGAGACCCGGGAGCAAGCTATTTTGAAGACACAATGAGGATTGTGAATTTGGACTTGGGGATTCGAGCTCACTTACATTGACCGGGTTCGAGTTGAGTGGGAGGCATATTCTAGGAGCTGCTGGCAACTCATAATATCTGGCCATCTGCACCGGTTGGCCATCAACAATTTTTGCGACGTTAAAAGGTTCAGATACTATCATTTGTCTGATCTTAGTCGAACTATGTCCCCGGAAAGCCATTAAAGTGGTCCTCATTGGAGTGGAGATTCTCCGCA